CAGTCAGCACAAGTACGTCGGCGCTACGTCGCTGATAAGTTTTTTTAAGGTCGTTATTTAGTAGGGCGTTTAAGCGAGCAACACTTTTCAACACCGCGACGAGCCGACGTTTTCGCGAATAAAACGCGATGCTTCGTAATGGAACGCGATCCAAATGCGAAAAGTATAATGCATGGCTTGAGAAAGACCAGGACCCGGGACGAGCAAAATGTAGACTTTGCCATAAAACGTTCGACATTTCGAACATGGGAGAAGCAGCGCTATCTAGCCATGCTAAAGGTGCAAAGCACCAGTCTGCCGCTGCAGCTGCGCAACAGTCAGCTTCCAACCCGATCGCTGGCTTTTTCACCCAGGTGACTAATGTCATGATACCCTCTGCCAGCTGCAGTGCTTCCCTCTCCTCCACCACAAAGCAAGGGACCATTTTGAGTGCTGTGTCCAGAAACGAAACCCTCACTGCAGAGGTACTGTGGGCGCTAAAAGTGGCTAATTCTCACTATTCTCACAAGTCTTGTGAAGACATAAGCCAGCTTTTTCCGGTCATGTTCCCCGACAGTCAGATAGCTGCAAGATTTACATGCGGTGAACGCAAGTGCTCATATATGTGTAATTTTGGACTGGCTCCTTATTTTAAGAAACTGACTTTGGCTAGTGTATCAAAGCAACGAGTATATGTCATGTTATTTGATGAAAGCCTGAATCACTATTTACAGGCTAAACAGCTAGACATGCATGTCAGGCTATGGGACGGGTCCCATAAAAAAAACAGCATTTTTTTGCCCTGAAGAAGGCCACAGAGGCTGAAACATGTTGGCATGTTTTTAATGGATAGCCAAGTTTAAATAAAGGCTTTTAAAACTTATATTCCTTGTGAGTGCCTCAGAACTACTATTTATTAAGTCATGAATATTTACCTTTAAGTCATGGAAAAGTCATGGAAAAGTCATGGAAAAGTCATGGAAAAGTCATGGAAAAGTCATGGAAATGTAATGGTAAAAATGTGCACGAACCCTGTTATGGTTAGGGCAGGGTAGGGGTTAAGGTTGTCATAGTTAACGTTACCATTTTTCCCATTGAAATGAATGAGCGGTCCCCATAAGGATATGTTTACCGTGTGTGTGTGTGTGTGTGTGTGTGTGTGTGTGTGGGTGGTGTGTGTGTGCGTGTGGGCGGACACCTCCTCACCACCCCCAGCCCATCCCCAGATGGCCAGCTTCACGTAACTTCAGTGGAGATTAAGTAAGAGCTGAAGATGGGGAGCTTGGCGCGTGTGTGTGGGCATGCTGCCAGGGGGACATAAGGCCACTCCTCATCGGATGGATTTGTGTGCAGCAGGCCTTTCAGAACCCCTTATGTTCCTCATCATGGAATTACGGGCTCCTGGTGGTGCTGTGTGTGGACCAGTTTGGTCCCTTCCTCCCTGCAAATATTAAGCTTTAATATGTGCATGTTGCTCTGTCAAAAAAGCAAATGACATTGTGCTTTGAGGTTCTACAGTTTATTTTAAAGCATTTGTTTGTGCTACATTTTAAATGCCAGCCAAAGTGTTAATATGTGGGTCCTGCCAAGCTTTGTCATCAGTCTCCCACCCTGGGTCCAAATTTCTTTGGAGAAAAAAGAGGTGGGGTGCAGATGTTTTGATTGGACAGTTTGAGGTAATTTGGGGAGCCCTGACAGAGCCTGCCTGTACGCTGAGAAACTGCAGCCGATATTGACCACTATGGTCTCTCTTATTGGACCTGTTTGATCTCCCTGGATATTTTGGTGTCATGCAGGAAACATTATTTAGTTATCAGTTTTTGCCATCATCAGTCCTCAGTAGAGGTCGACCGTTATGGGTTTTTCAATAGCCGATGCCGATATTTAGGAGTCAGGGTCAGCCGATGGCCGATATATGCTGCCGATGTTTTTTGGCTGAAAATTGGATGTCTTCCCCTTTGTTTGCATGATGAAATATCACACTAATAATAACAAGCGATACACAAAATTTCTCAACTTAGCATTTATTGAATACTGACTTGTGTAAATTTAAATATAAACTTAAATAACGAAAAAAACAATACAACTTGTAAACAACTTAAACTTATAACTTAAACATTAAAAATAGCAGCATCAGAATCTCTTAGTGCACGATATAGCAGCAAACTCCTTCTTCAGCTCCCAAGCTCACCAGTCTGCTGCAGATATCACACCTGGCTTTTCCTGGTGTTGGCTTGGTGAAATGTTGCCATACAGGATTAGATTTTTATTCAGCCATCAGACAGCAATTACTAAAACAGAAAAAAATGCAAGGTTAGCATTTTTATTATAGTGCCTTCATCTTCAATTCATTCTACAATTCCAGTATTCCATGCACATTAAAACAATTACACGCTAATACATTTTGAAAGAAAAAAAACCCACTATTAACTAAGTGCATCATGGTATGATGAGTAGTGTACAAGGCCCAAAACCTTTCACTAACATGTTGTTGATGTTGTTAGCAGACAGATAGCTTACAAGCCAAATTCACAATCAGAATCTAGTGATCCCGGAAAATAAAATAAAATAACTGTCGTATTGCACAGCCTTGTATGCAAGGACAACATAAACCCCTAGTGATTGTGACGTTGTCTACGTATAAGCCCGTATAAAGGATAGACATTTTTAATGAGGAAACTGACTGCGCAAAGTCATGCACTTTTTATCTACACGTCTGACAAGTTGTTCGAATCTCCGCTCTCAAATGCAAACAAGTTGCGCAGAAGGACCATTGTCAGCATCAGCTCAAGTGAATGGTAACCACACTTTCAAACAAATAGTCTTCTCCGCCATGCATTGTTCTTAGCAGCTCTGTGTCTCTGAGGATGGTGCTCTCTGTGATCGGGGCAGAGTAACGCAACTGTCACACACGCTGCAGTGTTGGGGAGAGCTGCCTGCTCCGCCCCACACACACACAGAGTGAAATTCTACGACACAAAAAAAAAAACAGAACTGATAACATCGGGCTGATATGGTAATAATTAAAATGTTAACAATTAAAATGATTTTTAACGATTAAAAAAACATCTGTGAGCCGACCAACAAGCGCACAAAACTAACTGTCAGAATCAATGATCCTTAACGTTACCTGTAAGCTACAGTTGGTTGAAGGCTCATTATCATTACGCCAGTTCCTGACAGCGGAATTCACGTTCTCTTTCAAAAGCACTCGCATTTTCTTTTAAAGCAACATTTCATAGCAAACCAGTTACATAAATAGGTCTTTTAAAAATCAGAATTTAAACCTTAGCATTTTCTCTCAGGACTCTTCCAAAACATCTGGCTGGGGTCCTGCACAAGGCAGCTTGGGTCACGTGTTCCACAGCAACAATAACACTGAGCTGCCCACAGACGTTCTTGTCTGTAAATCGGCGTAGTGCACTCGGATATCGGCCGATGCCGATATATTAAAAAATGCCAAATATCAGCCCGATATATCGGTCGACCTCTAGTCCTCAGGCTTATGCCTGTTCTGGTTACGTTGTGTATTTTATTGTCCCGTCAGTTATTTCTTGCTAAATACATCAGGAGATCCTCCATGGAGTTGGTCTGCTCCATGTCAGGGGCAATTTGTGATGCCAAACGCACAGGACAAACAAGTGCGTTTGCGGCAGGCTTCTCACAGCGTCCGAATAGCCGCATCACCCAGGCAGGTAGGAGGTAAACAAGCTTGGAAGTCCTTTATACCAGAATAACTGCTTTTGAGCCAGACTTTGGTTGTGGGGGGGGGAGGGGGAATGAAGAGTTTGGGTTTTTTTTAGCCTGCCCAGTGGGTCTTTTTAAAGAGAACGAGATGTGACAGTCCCACGTGTAATCGCCAGGCAAGAGGCGGGCTTTGGATCTGCCTGCCTTCCGATTGGTAGGGCGAGAGGGGGAGAGAGGGAGAGAGAGAGGGAGAGGGAGAGGGAGAGGGTGCTGTGTCTTGGGTCGCCTGGCTCTGAATAGCATATAGCAAGTGGGGAACGGGGGCATGGAGGCAGAGCCACAGGGAGCACCAGCAGTGCTGAGGGACATTGCATAATGATGGCGCGTGCCAGTCCATGGGCAACCATCTTCGCATAAAGCCGGATCACTGTCAATTTGCATCGGTACACTCTGCCTGCACTCTAGAGTCAAAGCGGGGTGGCGGGGGGGCGGATTGGTGGGGGGGCTGTCATGTATCACCCATCTGGTGTGTCTTCAAGTGAGCTGAGAGATATGGATACAGCAGCGCTAAAGCAAGGGTACTCCACCCTGTTCGCCTCCCGTTTCCAGGTAAACCATGTGTGTGTGAGTGTGTCTCCGGTGTTGGCTGAGATCAGACCTCTGCATATGAAGAGCAGGCTGGCTGGGATGAGCTACTGTGGGCGACCTCATGCTGTTGCATTTCACTCATATTTTAACGAAGTGCCCAAAAACGAAACTTGAACTGCGCAGAAGTGATTTGTCTGAATTATTTTGGTGTTCGTAATCTATTAGCCACCTTATCCGATCATAAGTGTGTGTGTGTTTATGTATGTCTGTACTTACTGTAAAATGCTTACAAACTGCAATAATACTGTGATTTTAAATCTTTCCAAATGGTTTAAGTCCTTTGCTCTTGAGTTTTTCTGTTAAATCTCTTTGGTCGTAAACATGGTTGCAGGTGGAGGTTACGTGAAGGGTGTTACAGCTGGCTTGGTGAGCAGTGGTCATGCTGTTCCCAGGATGAGACTGGAGAGGATTCTGGTCCTGGGCTTGTGTGTTTATACTGTAGAGACTCTGCCGTGCTGTTTTGGGGCCTGTGTACATCACCCATCTGTTCTCTCATCCATAGCTGGATACCCTGAAACAGCAGAACTCCAAATACCTGGAGGAGCTGAGTCTGTCAAGGGAGCAGCTCGGCTCTGAGAACCAGAAGATCAGCAGCCTGTCCAGAGAGATGTGAGTGGCCACTATATTCCTCCATCACTGTTCAGAGATGGTGCAGCATCTTTAGTGTTTACATTATTGATGTGCCTGTTTAATACTGTCATTTTCAGTTTGCTGTCTGTAATAACATGTTTGTGGCAGCCCTGTGTCTGTCAGAGGGCAAGTGCTGCAGTGGGTAAGTGCTGCACTGAGCCTCCACCTGCTCCCCGAATCAGCTAGTATGGAGGTGGGGGAAGCCAAGTGCCAACAGGAGAAGCCCCCAAGCGGCTCCATGGAGCCGCGGATTACATCCCGGGCAGATCTATCCTCTCGAGAGAACGCAGCTTATTCTGGCACTTTTAGTCGCGGTTGGTGTATGTAGCGGCCCGGACTAAACCACACGCTCTACTTTCATGTTGGCAGATTCTATTGATTTTGTGCTGCGTCCGGGGCCTGGTGGCACTGTGTTACGCTCCCGAAGCAGGTGTGGGTTCTGCTCCCGTGCCCTTAAGCACTTTTCAAAAACTCCATTCTTGTCACCTCTCTGTCCTCACTATAAGATGTTGAAGGAGAGAAGCATACTGTTGAAATTTGCATCTCAGTGAGAAGTTCCGGTTGCCTTACATTTCCGGGGTTGCAGCTCGAATCCTGCCTCTGTCCGCCTAGTGAGGAGGTCTCTCTCCATGTTGTGAGGGTTTCCTCAGGATTCCTGCCACAGGCCAAGGACATGCAGTTATGTTAAATGGCATCTTTTAAATGCCTCTAGTGCAAGTGTTTTTTCAACCCAGTCCTCAGGGATCCCTAGACGGTCCACGTTTTTTGCTCCCTCCCAGTTCCCTGCCAGACAGTCCACATATTTGGAGAAAAAACAGGGGCTGTCTGAGTCCACGAGGACCGTGTTGGGAAACACTGCTTTAGTGTATTATGCTTGTGCTCTGTCATGGGCTGGCATCCCTGCCTTATAGTCTGTGCTGCCAGGGTTAGGATTCCGGCCTTCCCGGCCCATTCCGCAGGGTAAATTGTTGACTGATGGATGGAGAAATTTACCTGTTAAAGTGCTTCAGTAATTATTATGGTTGTATTTGTATTTGATATAAAAAGGTTTTTTTCCCACCCCTCTCATTTTCAGTCGGGCAAATAGTGCTTGAATTTTGAGTTATAAAAGGAGTAGAGAAGTATTTCCCCTCTGTATTTGTGCTAAATCAGCTTGCAGGACAACCAGAAGCTGGGAAAAAGCTTTTATTAACAAGGTGGATGAATATTTCAAAATAAAAATTGTTAAGCAGTGGTTACGCTTCAGCAAGACGACCGATATCCTTTTCCATTTTCGAGTCCCATCATCTCCCCAGCAAGGAGCAGGCATGCCTGACTGAGACGCTCACCTCCTTTAATGGCCGTTACATTATTTAAGAGTTGAGGTCTGAGTGCACACGTGTACGCGGCGTCTCAGGCTGCTTCTGCTCCCGTTACACATTTCTTCCTTTCCACGTTGAGCTCGGTGCCCCAAGCCCCAGGACAGAAGCTTAGGGGGGGGCTGTTCCTACCCTCACACATTAAGCACTAACTGAAATCAGCGTCTGGACAGGGCTGCAGGGTCTCTGGTGTCGCCCCCAGGTGATTCATTCTATCAGGATATAAGGAGAGCTCCTTGGCTAATCGTAACATTGGCTATGACTCGCCGTCTGCATGTGCCCTGTGCTGCTGCGGCTTTCCTTTGCTTTTTACACGAAACTGGCTATTTTCTGGTGAGTCCTCTCCATCCGTGCAGCATCTGGACTTTTAACCCTTTCTTGTTGTCGCATGAAAGCTCTACCTTGCTCAGCCACACACTACAGCTTGCGTGGTTTCAGGTTCATCTCACAGCATGGGACCGTTCTTTGTCTGACCCCTTTGTGTAGTGGGTGAGTCTTCGGTCAGCATCGTGTTGTATAAGTGTACAGGAAGCAGTAAGGTGGCTTGTGTCCATGTCACATTATTTTTTGGCTTAATTTAAGTATCATGCTGAAGGACAGTGTCTGTGAGCTTACTGGCTTTTCAACATTTTTAGAAACCTAGACCCTTAACGTGCACCTGGGGAGCTCAGAGCAGGCCGTGATTGTTCCGGCTGAGCCATAGCTGAAGCCAATCTGGCCGTTTTATGCAGTGTTGGGTGTATGTTGGCTTTCTTCTCCAAAGCTTTGCCCCTTTGCTTGTATGTATGCAATCCTTGTGTTAATTATCAGTCATTAAGCAGACCAGCTACGGACTGGTTCAGCAATGAATTTGAACTTTGTCTTGGCCTGTGTCGTTGTCATGGTGATTCCTCTGAGCATCATCCTGCATGTTTTTCATGGTAACTTAAATATACCCTGTCATGTCATTAAGGCAGGCTCCGTGTCTGTCACATGCTGCCCTCGCCCCCCCTCCATGCCACATCTGGTATTGAATCCTTTGCATTCCTTTTGCATCCTCCCCCTCTGTGATTTGGTAGCTAGGAACTCTATGTGTCTCACTTAATCTATTTTTTCGTCCCTCTCTTTTAACCTGGGGTTGTCAGAGAGGAGCTGAAGCTGGCCACTACCCAGAAGTCTCAGCGTCTTGCTGCTCTGCAGGAGGAAAACACTAAACTGGCCAAGGAGCTGGATAGCAGTCGACAGGAAGGAAGCTGTCAGAAGGAGGTATGGCACCCGGCACCCTGGGAGGTCTGCTGCTGTGTGGGGAGTTAGAGATGCTGGTCAAGGTGTTGTTGACCCATCCTCCCAAGTGTACAGTCTACACCTCTGCAAGCCATCTGGTATCTCAGCTGAGGTAGTTACTTTGAAGAAAATGAAAAAGACAGCGCTTTTCTCCTCTCCCCCAGCTGGAAGATGAGCTCTCCACTCTGAACAGTCAGCTCCTTCAGATGAAGATGAGGTGAGGTTCTGTGGAGGCATGGAGGGGCTGGACTTGGGGCCAACCAGCATTAATTTAAAAAAAAAAAAAAAAAAAACGTTTGTAGTACACATTTTTGTAGCACAAGTCAATAAATTTCAGTAAAACACTATTCTATGAAGTCCAAGAAAGGCGCTGATACTTTTCATTAGCGAAAAAGTTTTATTCATAAGTCAATTAGTAAGTTATCCAGTGTTGATATCTGACAGTGATAATGGGCAATTATCGGCTTTGTCAGGAAGGTAGGCTTTGGTCACACACAAGCCAGGACAACAGTAGGATCTATTATTTGGCTTTCAGTTCAGCCTTATAGCCTATATTTCTGACACAGTTTAAAAATAAACACACATGGCTGTTATAGTGCAGCATTTCACAAGCATTGCCTGTTGCAGTATCAGTGTGTTCGCCGTTCTTATAAGTTATGAAGTTAGATGTTGACACAACAACAACTTCTGTTCTCCAGTTAACAGCCCCAGAATGTCAGCCAGTCAAGGACAACTTCTTTGTGGGAATTTTGAGCTTCCCAACTTATGTGGAGGATGACATGATATTATTGTTTATCACAAAATTTTTAAATTAACGGTCATATTGTACAATTTTTTTTAGATGCCACCCAGCCCTAATGTGTAATTGATTTCATTTTTCATTAGCCACTACCATTAGGTCATTACTGATAGACTTCAGTGTGTTCCCTGAACGTTTACAAGTATGATACTAGCTTTAACCTACCTAGCAGTTACTAGTCTGTGGAGTTCCCCATGGATCTGTCTTGGGGCCTCTTATTTTCACTATATATTCTTCCGTGAGCTCAGATTATTAGTTCTTTCAAGGGTATTTCATATCATTTGTATGCCGATGATATTCAGATTTATTGTTCATTTAAGTCAAATCAGTTCTATTCTGGCTGATTGTCTGGAGGAAGTTAACAAGTGGTTAGCTGCTAATCAGTTATGTTTAAATTCAGAAAAAAATGAAGTTTTAATTCTTGCTCCTTTAGATTTACTTTCCTTGATTTCCAGTAGGATTACAACCATCTCACATTGATGCAAATCTTCTCTTTGAAACCTGGGTGTCATTGATAGTCATTGAGTTTTGATTCTCATATTAGGTCCCTCAGTCGTACATGTGTTTTTCAGTTGTAAGCTCTATCTAGTTTGAGAACGATGGTTTCTTCTGAGGTGTTGGAAATGTTGGTTCATGCTTTTATTTCCTAACAGTTAGATTATTGCAATTCACTTTTCACTTGTCTTAGCAAGTCAGCTTTTTCATGTCTGCAGACGGTTCAAAATGCAGCTGCTAGGCTTTTAACAAGAACTAAGAAGACCTCTCATATAACACGTATTTTATATTCTATTCATTGGCTTCCAGTCCAATTCAGAATCAGGTTCAAGATATTGGTCCTTACATTCAGAGCCTTACATGAACAGGCCCCGCAGTACATAATGGACCTGGTACATCCTTATTTGGCTGGTCATGTTCTAAGGTCCTCTGATTAAGGACTTATTGTTGTTCCACAAACAAAGACTTCGGGCATTTCAGGTTGACGCCCCAAGGTCATGGAATGATCTTCCTCCATCCGCATCTTGCGGATTCTACTGAAGGTTTTAATGGGTACCATTTTACTCAGGCTTTTGGTAAAATGTGAGTCGATCCTGTGTAATCGTGTTTTGTTATGCGTTGTCTATTTTTAATAGGTTTTATACGTTTTCTGTTTTCTGCATTTTAGTTTTGTACAGCGCTTTGTGACTGCTTTGTTTGTGAAAGGCACTTAAAAAAAACTTTACTTAGTTTACTAGTCAATTTAATGTAGCTTTCCAAAAAGAGCTACAGGTAGTGGTATAATGTCATTGCTTGGTCCAGGTTGCACACATGCAAGGGAATATTTTTTGTAATTTGTACACATTGATTTTTAGTTGCATATGCAACAAATATCACAGTGTAGAGACCTGGTTGGGGTGCAGCACTTGCTCAGCTAAGCAGCCTGTTTACCTGTTGCCTGTACTATGAAGCTGGGTTACTGGCTTTTCGGGGTAACTTTTCGAGTAACTTGATGACGTGTGGTGTAGCTTTGCGATTAACCCATACTATGAAAGGTGGGTAGGTTTTACAGCTGCTATTAGCAATTTATGCTAAGTCTCAAACCTGCTCCGAGCAGTTTTTGTTCTTGGTTAAGTCGAGGTTTCTGCGTAAGCCAGCCCTATATGAGCGCCGCCTCTCCGAAGACAATGCCAGCATACCTGGATGATCCATACGACATTAGCGCGACATTAGCAGTCTTGTCTGTGTAATTGTGTCCTTCACCAACAAGCCATATGCCACAAAGCAGCCCTGTTAGCTTAGTATGCAGACTGGTACATTGACTGGAGAGGCAACCTTGCTGGTACACAGCCAACTCCAGGGCTAATGCAGCTGATGTGAATTGGAGTTGCTAAATTGTCCATGGGTGTGAATATGTGTGCGATGTGTTGGTGCCCCATGCGGCGTTTTTCCGTTGCATTGTCCCTGTAGCTTCCATGACAGGCTCTGGACATCTACAGTATGACGCTACATAGGACAAGTGGGTCCAGAAAATGGATGGATGGACTAGTTTTTATTACCATTCCTGTGTGTTGGTTTATATTCCTGAATCTGTCAGTTTCGGGCTTATAGAGCAGGCTTATCCTGTCTCGTTTTGTTCCTTGCCAGTAGTCTTATTATTGCACTACTATAAAAAACAATACAGATTTTGCCAGAAACTTTATAAAATACAGTACCTGGTGTGGTGGGAGAGCACTCTAAACCCAAATGTATAAAAACAGAACGTGTTAATGTGTTAGAAGAATGTTTACCTTCAGTCAGCTCTGTGTTGTTACCAGACTCATAGATAAGATCTTATACACATTGTTTTTTGATGTTGTCGTCACTGCTATTCTGTATTCTTGTAGGATTCCCTTCACCCCCAGGACTATTATAGAATTCCTTTTCTCTGCCATTGTTTTGATGATTATAATACAGGCCGTTCTCTTGCATCAGCAGCTCATTGTCTGTTCCAGTACTGTAGATGTCCAGTTTCAGAACGCTTTCCACTGCACCAAGTACCATACTTTTTTTCCTGGTACTATCGGTACTTTCCCTTTTCCATTGACTTCCAGTCGAGTGCCAGTCCCAAAAGTTCCAATACCAAAAGTGCCAAACCAGCTGGGGTACTTCTTTGGTACTTGAGTACTTTGGGGTGGGACTTGAAACGCTTTCTTTGTCAATTGGTTATGCAAATAGCCTGCCTCTGAAACACAATACAATTGCCATCTTGCAAAGAGTTATAAACTCAGAAAATCAGCGATAAATGAAGTGAAAAGTGAGTTGCTATCTGTTCTGAAAAAGAGATGCAACACAGATCAGGATGGCATGACAAGAAATTTAAAAAGTACAGTGGTACCTCGGTTCTCAAACTTAATCTGTTCCGGACTCCGGATTGAATCCTAAAAAGTTCGAGTTCTGATCGAATTTTTCCCATAAGAAATAATGGAAAACCAATTAATTGGTTCCCGGCCCCCCAAAAGTACACCTAAATGTTTTTTTTTTTTTAAGCATTTAAACACAAAATGAACAGGATAAAACAAGAAGAGCATTTTTTTCTTAATGGCTTCCAAAACTGTAAAGATCTTATCACAACATTACCCCTGTCCTGCCCCGATCGTCCGCTCCTTCCGTGTGCCACGCCCCCTCGTTAACCTCGTGTGGGATCCCCATGTGATCAGCTGTTTCTGGTTGTTGTCATTAGTCCTTTGTATTAAGTCCGCGTTTCAGTTTGTTTCCCCAGTCCGGTCATTGGGTGCGTTCAACTTGCTTACAGCGCTGGCTTAAAGCAACGCATTCTGATCCTGACGCAATGCATTACGGTTAGATGCATTGCGACCTCTCACCCGGCTGCACAAACTGGAACCGCCTCCGTGACGACACACCTTTGCCCTTATTGGCTGAAGTTTAGTTACACGCATGACGTTTGTATCGCAGGCAGTTGCAATGCGTAATCTGCTGTTTCTCCCAAATATCACGTAAAGCAGTGAGAACTGGTTTTCAGTTAATTTACCTGGTAAAATGAAGTTTAAATAAATTACATAAATGCTCTAATAGTACACGTAAGTTAGTGGTTTGTTTATTGTTATTTACTGTAATGTTGCGCTGCTTTATTTGGTTAATCGTCCAGTCTGTGAAGAAGGCATTCAAGTAAGAATTGCATTGTAGTATGACTCATTTACTGGCGCTTATAATTTATATTAGGTCAGCGTACACGGTTCGACTTCTGATATTCAGATCGAGTTCTAGGTCAAACTGGTTTGTTCGACTTTCAAGAAATTCGAGTTCTAGTGAGTTTGAGAACCGAGGTACCACTGTATTTTGTTTAATATACTTGGACAGAATGCATATGCCTCTCCTAGTGTATTAAACATGCTAGCGATGTGATTCTGTTGTAAAAAAATATTAGACTATTTAAAAAGCAAAAAGGAGTTCATAAATTTCCCACAAACCTGTCTAGGAGTGATTTAAACAGCAAGGATGAATATGATTATGATTGTCTTGAAGAACACATTCATCGCTAATGCAAAAGCAGCGGCAGTATATTTTTAAACTGATTTTTAAACATAATAGATAATCTATAAAAGGAATAATAATTAAAATTGCAAAGTTTGTCAAGATTTATTTTCTGTTATAGAGTAAAAATGTTTTAGCGAAACTTAAAATCCCTGTGCTGTAATTTCCATACAGAGTTGATAGTAAGAAAAAACCTGATCTTAATCTATCTGACTAGTCATGTAAGAATTGTATGTGCATAATATGCAATGTTGGTATTAATATCGCACATTGCCCAGCCCTATAATATACTACAACCATTTTTCAAATTCAGTACAAAATACCCGCCTGGCCTTGTGATGTCATTCAGTGGCAGTACCAGTTTTTACACTAGTGGAAAAACAACACCGTTATGTACCATACTTTTGGTGCTTTGTTGAAATACCAAAAGTACAGTACCTGGTGTGGTGGGAGAGCACCCTAAATTATTGCCTTTATTTGATTGATTTAGACTTGATTTCCTCTCTACCAAATGACAAAGATCATGTTGCTGGACCCATCAGGGAATGAGACCATCGCCATGCATTTATGTTGGTGAATATCTGTTTCTTTGGCATCATCTGGCATGAGATGATGATTGTTGTTCACATTGATAGTTGTTGTATTGGAATTGGGGAAATCCTTGAGAGTACAGCAATACAAACCATTCTGGGATTTTTAACCAGCAACTTTCAAGTTAGAGGTCTGTTTTCTTACACACTTGACACAATTGTCAGTTCAGGTGTGGGGTGAAATGGTTAGGAGGAGGCCATAGCACAGTGCTGGGACTTTGGGTGTATTGGAGAGTGAGAGCGAGAAAGACGAGTCTCCCTGTTTATACTGCCAGGGTCCTCTCATTGACACCCCAACAATGTCATTCTGATTAATCTACATTAAATTAAATTTTCATCTCCCTGGGCAATTTTTTTCGTTGCCCAGCATCCGTTCAAAAGTAAACAGTAAAAAAAAAAAATATTTTTTAATCCCAGCACACACAATAAATCACACGTTGTATAGTACAAGTGAAGTACACATGAATTGATGCAAACAGAACACCCTAGTGATCGGTCAAAGAGCTGGCTGGGGTTGGGCACACAGAGGCCTGTAGCCCTGTACAAACTAAAGGCGATAGGCACAAAGCAGTCCTTTGTGCTTCTCCAGGAATCAAGCCTGTGATTTAAGGCACTCTTCAACCATATTGAGAGTACATTGGAAGCATGGGTGTCGCCGCCCCCCTCACATTTCATAATTGGACAACAATAAGCCAGCAGTCTCACATTTCCTTTAATTACTGTACACGCAGAGAGTCATCATTTGTTTGTTGTTGTCCCTCTGTCTCTCTCTCTCTGACACACACACGCACACACACACTCTCACACACTTTAACAGCCCCCCCAGCACCTGTGGAGGGATGCCACGTCAGTGGAATCAGCTCTCAGGGTAATGAGCTCCACCTGCAAGTAAACCACGCTAACAATGGAAAAGCCATACAATGTAATCAAACACTACAATAAAAAAGGGTGAGAAGAATAAATACCACAAAGCAGGAAATGGTAGGAAGAAATACAGAGCTGGACAAGACTGCCGAGTATGGTTTCATCTTGTTGGATGCAAGGTGATCAGGTTTCATATGATGCTGCAGATACCACTTTTGAATACCTTTAAGTTTTGGCATACCCTTACAGCCTTTGGCAGTTTGTTTATGGATTAGAGTGTGAGAGGCATAAAAAAGGCAAGGATTGAGCATGACAGAAAAATTTCCATGACAAGAAAAGTAAAGTATAACAAAAAGTGGGTGCCTGCATGGATTAGCGAAGTGTCATGATGTGGAGCCCTTCAGGCCCCAGGCTGGTGACCCACTCACCCAATGCCCTACCCTGGCCCTCTACATGGGCCTTCTCTTTGGTCACAACATGACCAAATGAGGTAAGCATTTTGTTGAGCATGTTAGTAGCTGTGACTTTATTAGTGTTAATGCAGGGGGAGAGGAAACTGCTCACTTGGTCATAGTTTGGAGATCATCAGGTTGTGGCATTTCTTGGTCTTAGACATTTTTAAGTAAGTAAAGTTTATTTATCAAGCACCTTTTACAGACCGTCACAAAGCACTGTACAAAACTAAAGTGCACAGAACAGAGAACCACTGTTTTCTTCGTAGTTCCATTTGTTTTTACTGTAAATAGCTTTTTGGATCATGTTAGTTCCAGAAAATCGACAGCAGACATCATTCATAACACGGCTTGTATGTGATTTGGGCTTGTGTGTTTTAGAGTGGTCTCTCACCCTACAGAGAGAACTCCCTGAAGAAGGAATCTAACGAGGAGAAGATCTCCTTCCATCAATCCATCCAGAAGAGCAGCACCTTGATCTCGGCAAAGGACAAAGAGCTGGAGGCCCTGAGAAACGAGGTACTATAGCAGCTCATCAGCACCCTGGAGTATCAGGATAATCACACAGAGCTGGGAGGGCGGGTAGACAAACAACACCTACCTGCTGACAGTCCGTATTGCGTTGAACATGTTTTTTTGCCAAAGGCCTATATTCTAGGGGTATAAAGATGTATCAGTGCATTATCAGGAATCAGGTAAGGTGGCTATTCAATGCAGCAGGTTGGTTTCAAGCTCAAAATTTAGTAGAACGCAGTACACGAGCAATGTGAAACAGGAGATTCTGGGAACAGTGAAGTACACTGCTTGGACAAGTTTGTAACAGGTTGCTAGAAGCAGGACTGAAGTACTGTAAAGCAAGGAAGAAGCCCTTCATCAATGAGAAACAGAAGTGCCAGGCTGGAGTTTGCGAAAAAAAAAAAAAAAAAAAGTATAGTTTACACAGAAGCATACCCTTAAATTGAGAAATGAATGAAACTAAAAATTTTGCTGTGATCGCTTAATTTTTTCCAGAGGTGTCTCTGTGTGTGTATGTGTCTGTGTGTGTGTATAATGTACACACACATAGATATTTATACCGGCATTTCAACTTTTTCCTCAATGTAGGATAGCAGGGGAAGGTTTAACATTCATACAGGAAGTGACACATGATCTTTGCACTTGGACCCTTAATTTGTTAAATGACAGACAAACTTGCCCCTGTTTTTTAGCACATAACACTCTAATGGTTAAGATAATCTTTGTACTATGCTGTGTTTTGGATACACCTCTCTTTTGTAGCGCAAAAAAATTGACTACTAAAATAATGGAGTTAACTGCATTGGATAATGAGCCATTTCCCATAGTAGAGGACAAAGGATTGCTTTGGCCCACTCACCACTTAGAAGAGGTCTCAAAGTACCGGTCAGTGACGTGTCTGTAATTCATTATTAAATTTGGCTTGCAGATCGATCTTTTGGTTTTCCACAGAATTAAAAACCATGTAACGTCATTTAGCTAAACTGCTAATTATGTGTCACTCTAAAAGCTCAGCACCCCCACCTTCCCAATCTGGTAGAACTTCCTATGTGTTTGTTTTTTTCCTGTACGGTTCAGTGCACAGAAAAAACACTGGCTTGTTCTTCCTGTTTAATAGTAACATTAAAAATCCATGTTCCGAGATTTTACTTTCTTTGTATTCCATTAATAGTGTGTATTTAAATTCCCAGGGTAATATTGGTGAATTCTTTTCAGATAAATTAAATGTTCTAATTTAGTTTAGCAGAATAACCAAATAATCAATAATTTGCATCATGATTAAGATTTCTAATAATTAAACATTTCTGATGCATCAAATTGATTTACAACTCTATCATATTCCATTGTCCTTCAGTACATTTTAATCACTTTTTAATCAGTTACTTTCTACTTTGATTGTGGCGCAGGTGTCTTTTTAATTACAAACCACCTGATCCAGTTAATGTAGTTTCTTTGATTGACTGGGTTTATTAACAGTTTTAAGAACGCTTGGTATTCAGCTAGAAGTACATTTTTATTCCAGTGCTACCTTCACGTGCTTTTCTTCTGTGCAGATCGCCGTCTTGCGGGATGAAAATGTCGTCGCTAAGACATACCAGTCAGCCGTCCGCTCCTTGGAGCTGGATAAAGCGCGACTGCAGGAGCAGGTGCGGAGCCTGGAGCAAAGGCTGGTGGGGGGCGAGCCCACTGCCCCTGGAGGATCCTCAGGTGACTCAGCCGTCCCAAGTTAGGTGGCTGCTCCTTAATGGCTACATTAGCAGACTTAGCAGCCTCGGTGGTTTATATACACTACAGGCCAGAAGTTTGGGCCCACCCTCTTATTTTTAATTAATTAATTTAATTAATAAACAATACACTGCTTTTGCAAACTATTATTACAAGAAAATATAAAAAATACTTAAAAGTAACGGACTGGCTTTGAAGTGTACAGTAACAATTTACTGTGCATAGTAAGTGCTATTTAATGAATGCCAGTGCCTAAGTATGAGTTTTTATCAAAATAACCACCCCTTGCCTTTATCACAGCAGCACAGATTAACAGCACCCTCTCTAGAGATTTTTTGGAAATCTCCCAGCACCTTTTCAAGCATGCAGACAGTTCTGTCTCATTTGTAGACGCTCACTTTGAACTTGTTGCTGCAACTCGTCCTATGGATGGACTTTCGTCTGTCCACAAGACCTGCTCCCAGTCCTGAATACCCCAGTGTTGTTTAGCCTATAATTCTCTTTTTCTTAATACCACAAAGTAAAGGTTTTCTGGCAGCAAGTCAGCCATGCAGTCCATCTGCTCAGTCTTTGCTTGACTGTATTAAGAGTTACCATTTTCCCTTTGTTCACGTTAATCACAGCCCTCAGACCTCTGCAGTCGTCTTCCAGTTTCTTTTGCACATCACAACTAAATGTCAATCTTCAATATTTCATGTCACTTTCCCTGCCCCAGACTGTTTCTGGTCACTGTTGCTTCCTGTCAACTTTTTTCTCTGTAAACAATAGGTCACTCCATGCTTAACTTTTAACATGCTTAACTTAACTTTCATTTAACTTTCTGGCTATTTGGCGATGAGAAAACCCTTCTTTACTCAAAATTTGATTTGTGCTCTCAGTTGTTAGTTGTTGCTTCCTAGCCGTTACAGACATTTAAAAAAATATTTATTACAAATTCTGACATCAGTTAAGAACATAAGAACTATACAAACGAGAGGAGGCCATTCGGCCCATCGAGCTCGCTTGGGGAGAACTTCACTAATAGCTCAGAGTTGTTAAAATCTTATCTAGCTCTGATTTAAAGGAACCCAAGGATTCAGCTTGCACTACTTTATCAGGAAGACTATTCCGTAATCTGACTACACGCTGTATAAAAAAGTTCTTCCTTAAATCCAGTTTGAAATGTTCTCCCGCTAATTTCCACCTATGGCCACGAGTTCTTGTATTTGAACTAATGCTGAAGTAACTATTCGGTTCAACAGTATCCAAACCTGTTCTTATAGAATCTTATAGACCTGGATCATGTCCCCCCTCAGTCTCCTTTGCTTGAGGCAAATTTAGCTCAAATAACCTTTCCTCGTATGA